CAGTAAAATTTCTTCATCATTACTTTTCAAAAGTCTTATTTTGTGTTACTAATCCTTCTCTCTCTGTATTTTGCCATAATTATTTGCCCTTCATGTGACATGACACAGTCAATTTTTTTTTTTCTTTTTTTGTTTGAGCATATGTTAAGTGGTCATGATATTGATGATTGCAGATCTGATGCCCAGTTGCTTGTGCCTTTCATATAGAAGGAAATTTGAGTAAGTTTGTTTATTGAGTTATTCCTCTGAGATGGAGTATACAAAATGGGACTGGGAGAACTTCGTCGCGTTCGGATCAAAAGCAAGTGATAGCCCCAAGAAGGTGCAATCAGCGGACTGGATGATTATGGATGATGGGGAAATTTCATTCAATTTGTCTGGTGGTAGCGGGAATAGTGGTGGTTCTGGTTCAGAAGTCCATGGTTCTTCAGCTGAGTGCTCAATATCAGTTTCTACAGATTCTTTACCAGAGGACAGGATGAAAAATCCCAATTTCAAGTTTGAGGCATTCGAGGGCCCTGCTGGAGATTTTAGCAAGAACATCGTAAGCATCAGAAATGAGGTGTCTGGAACTTCACCATTGGAGACTTCGGTGGGCTCTGCCGAACCGCTGATTGGTCTGAAACTCGGGAAGCGGATGTACTTTGAGAACAGCAGCGCCGGGGGCAGCATCAAGAGTGCATCCTTTACTGTAGTTCCTAGTTCATCCATCTCTATAACAAAGAAATCAAAATCATCTCCTCCAAATGGGCTTATTCCACGCTGTCAAGTCGAAGGCTGTAACATGGATCTTTCTGCAGCAAAAGATTATCATCGGAAGCATAGAGTTTGCAACAGCCATTCAAAATGTCCAAAGGTTATTGTAGGAGGGCTTGAACGTCGGTTTTGTCAACAGTGTAGCAGGTATGGAAACCAAATCAGAAGTACATAAAAGGATAGTGCTCTGATAATTTTCCTTTTTAATGTCTTGCTCAATTTTTTCAAGCCATAATGATTTCCTGATCTACTTATTTACTTAAATTTTTGTACTTATTTCTTTTTGATTATTTGAAGAATCTGAGAGTCTTTTATTTTCATTTTTTTATGCTTAAAGGTTCCATGGTGTGTCAGAATTTGATGAAAAGAAGCGAAGCTGTCGTAGGAGACTTTCTGATCACAATGCACGGCGCCGAAAACCACAACAGGAGACTATCCAGTTTAATTCAGGAGGGCTTACCTCACCATTCTATGGTAGGATTGGAATTAAATTTGACTTACTTTTTTATTGTCGGCATATACTTTGCTGGATGCCCTTACAGTTGGAATATGCAAATTATTAGTCTTTTGGAATATTAATTGATAAGTGAGGTCATAACACATAACTATATAGACAAACATGCTTGTTCGAGGTTCCAACTAGTTGCAACTCCAAATTTCTGTACAATCCTTAAAGTAATTTAGTTCTATGCGATACCATTCATTATGTTTGATCTGATATGCTTTTACATGAATAGATGGCAGGGCGAAGATGAATTTTTTCTTGAACAATGCTCCACTTGTACACTCTAGAACGGCTACAAATTCAGCCAGTGGTAGCACCTGCAGCTCAAAATTCACACTAACAGAGGTGTTTCCTTTGAAGCCTGATAAAGCTGGAGGCCTTGATGGGCAAGTGCACATGCCAGGAATTCAGCCTGCACATACCATTAGTATGCATGATAACTTACTCAATGGCTCCACATCTGAGGTTTTAAATCCAGGTTTGTTTTACTACTTTAGGAGATTGACGTACAACATTCAATATTTTCAGACACTACTAACAGATTAGTGTCAGCTGTTTATTCCATTCAGTTGATCTAAATTGGCTCAACTTGGCAAAATTCCTACTAAAATTACTTGGGCATTTAATTTTGAAGAATTACAAGAGTTATATTTTCTAGGAGTTGAACTGTCATTTTCTTATACATAGTGAACGTATGCTCCAAATCTAACATCGAGTGGGAATCCACAATAATGAGCAGGGAGGAGCGGTGGGGGAGCTACGTTAGGCAAAGTAATTATATGAAAGTATCATGTTAATTTTTTAATTTCAGTTAGATATCATGATTTTGCAATTGGCTCATCCATAATCGGTAATTGGATGAAAATATTAACCATAAAGTTTCTAAGTAGTAATCACTTTCAATGTCTCTGAAGTCCGTATGATTTGTTGAAAAAGAAAAGCATTATTTTCAAAACCTTATTTATCTTGTTTACACGATGTTTTTTTGTCCTCATTTTGTTGAGAAGAGCATTACTTTTCAGCACCATTCTCTGCTTCGTCTATATGTGGTCCATGTTTTTTGACACAATCTTTGAAGGGAAAGAAAGCAGCAGAGAATCTCTAGTTCTTGAGAGATTTTTTCATTTTTTGACTGGTCGGAGGGTGCGAGGAAAGTAGTGTTGTCTGGTTTTGGATGGAGTGCCATGTCCATATGAAAGGAAAGAAGAATGAAAAAGAGTAGGGAACTTAAGAGTACAGGGAGACTGAACTCAGTATTATTTTGGACTAGAACAGTCTACGTTGGATACAACTTAATAATATTATTACGTAGAATAAACAATTGTTGCAGCCCAAAATAATTCAATCATCTAACATGTCGGAAGTCATTAATCAACTACCATAAATATCATGATGGGAACAACGTAGAAATGTCAAAATGGGCAGGCTGGCCCTAAACAACCCATCTTGGTTTGGCCTGCTCGGTAAAATTTTAGTGAAGCTTGAACCATGACCCGTTACTCTAACGGGCTGGTCTGTCTAGGTGGAGCTAAATCACCCTTTTTAAAAAAAATGAAACTGAAATTGTGAATTCTTTTATTTTGTAGTCTAAAATTAAGGGATCCAATTGATCTAAATTTTAGAAACAAAATTTTGTACATTAGTTAGAAATATTGCTTTAATTAATCCCTTAACTAATGACTTCATTAATTTTAAGACATGTTCAAACCCACGTCTCTCATAATTTTATTTGAATTTTAAATTTAAATTATATGGGGGTCAATGCACAAAAACTTAAATTATACAGGGGTCTATGCTAAAAAATTGGCCTAGACCAGCGGTTAAAATGGGACAGCTCGTGATCCGCCCATTTCCCGGACTGGGGCTGGTTCTTATGCTAATCTTTTTCGAGACGGACAAGTGGTTTGGGGTTGGTGTTCACGAAATTATTTCTTTCGATTTTAAACCACCGCAAGTGTACGGTTCGTTAACAAATAATAAAGTGGATTCAATGAGTTCGAATATCGTCCCACAGAGATTGATTAGTTCAAATTTTATCTACCTTAGCCTTAACCGAAACTAAATTACCAAAGTGGATGTAGACATAATTGAACCTCAATTATGCAAATTTTTTATGATTAAATTGAAATTAATATGCAAAACAATAAATTAAACTCAAGAATGAAATCTAAAAGTTGAGAACGCACTTGTTATAATTATGGGAATGAAATACGCTAGGGTCACGAATTCCTATGCAATTATCACTTTAAACTCTAGTTTCATAATATGACAACACATTTTAATTTTGACGAATCAATGTTCTTAAGTCTATTCAATACTTTCTGTCGAGATGTATCGAACCTATTTCTATATACCACCGGTCTATATTTCTATGACAAGAGCATATGTAAAAATGCATGCGATTTTATGAACATTTAAAGATTCACGTAGAGCATAGCGGTATATTTCTATCCGCTATCGGACCCTACGATGATTTATATTATGTCAAATCTCTTCCAATTCTCTCGACTGCAAGAATAAATCACTTAGGCCCCGTTTGATTGCACGAAATTTTCCATGGAACTTGGAATTCGAATTCCAACTTCCACTTTTGGCCTGTTTGATTGACAAAATTTTCCAGGGAATTGATTTTCCATGAATTTCTAGGTACAACACCTTAAAGCGTGATTTTCCACCTTTTTTTTCCTAGGGGATAGGTGGTTTTTGGTTTTCCACCTTTTTTTATTTTTTTTTTGCTTTTTTTATTTTTTTTTTAATTGTTGGCAATGGGAACAAATTTTAGGAATAATTGTAAAAGAGGATATCCCTGAAATTGACAATTTCCACGTAAAACAAAGTCAAACGAACATCAAAAAATACTTTTACTTCAACATTTTCCACGTGAAAAATTTATACAATCAAACACAATAATTTACAATTTCCATGAAAACAATTTCTAGGTAATTCAATTCCTTGGAATTCATTTTCTTTCCATGTAATTTTCCTACTTGTAATCAAACGCACCCTTAAATTCACACAATTACGAGCCCTTAATTGCGGAAACATTAATCGCATATAAATCATTCAACATACTAGAAATTGTGTCTTAACATCAAATTGCAAAACTAGAATATTAAAATTCAAATCACATGGTTCATCGATCTCCTAGCATGATAAAAATCTAGCCTAGCATGCTTAAAATAACAAAATATATCAAAGTTTGTATATAAGACATCACCAGGTTATAAAACTTGAATAAATCTTGAAGTTCTTCGTGTTAATCTTTGTTCTCGCGCTCAAATCCTCTCCAAGAGTTGTTTTTCGGCCTCCAATTATGTTCTGGGCGTCTTTGGAATGTTTTTGATATTTATATCCCGTGGAAAATTAGGTTACCATAGGTATTTCAATCGTATAAGGAAAGAAAAATTCGCGCTGCAATTGTATCATGCGATCGCATGGTTTTAATCCGTGCGGCCGCATGGTTATCATCTTTTTCCAATATAAATCCCTGTATCACTTCGTGCGGCCGCACGACGTTTCTACCATGCAACCGCATGGTAGAATAAATCTTTCAGTTCTTACAATTTGGTCCTTTTACTTTAATCTTCCACTTCTTTACATCTTTTCTTCATTCTTCACATTCCATCATCCCAAAGTGTCATCAATTTGTATTTGGCAAACTCAATTTCTTGATTTGTTTATCGGGTCAACTTTTGGGTAATTGCACATTGGTCCTTGAACTTTCACTTTGTGTCATTTTAGACCTTTTTCGCGTCTTTTCTGATGCATTTCACCATGTTCATCGGTGTTACCTACAATTCACAAATGTAATGAAATTAAGTCACAATTCAATCATTTTATTCGTAATTAAGTCATGTTTGTGACCTAAATAAGTGTGCAAAAACACACTTATCAAACTCCCCAAACTTGAACTATTATTTGTCTTCAAACAAGATAGTGACTAAATTCTGAACAAACATGGTTTAATACCCTGCTACGGCTCAGGATTGGACAAGTGTTTGATTTGATGAAGATATATTAGTGCAAAAAAAAAATTAATGGCATCAACCTTCGCATGTTAAATGCGTACTTGACGTGTGTGTGTGAGTTCATGCCAACATATTAGATTCATGATGGGTTTGAGTCCCGATCCCAAGTGGTCAAATGTATCCTTACTCGCTCGAGAGATACACAACCTCCCAAACTTATTCTTCTCACTCAATTATCCTGGGGTTGTGTTTTAAAATTAGGAGTTTACATAGCTGTAGTCATCACCCTCTCGTAGTTTGGATTAATCTCACTAAGTGTTTGATTTGATGAAGATATATTAGTGCAAAAAAAAAAATTAATGGCATCAACCTTCGCATGTTAAATGCGTACTTGATGTGTGTGTGTGAGTTCATGCCAACATATTAGATTCATGATGGGTTTGAGTCCCGATCCCAAGTGGTCAAATGTATCCTTACTCGCTCGAGAGATACACAACCCCCTCAAACTTATTCTTTTCACTCAGTTATCTCGGGATTATATTTTAAGATTAGGAATTTGCATAGTTGTAGTCCCCACCCTCTCGTAGTTTGGATTAGTCTTACTATCACAAGTTTACATTTCAACAAGTGAAAGCTCTCCCAAATTTGATTGCTTCGACATTCAAGATTAAACTAGGTTACTTGTCTCGCCTCAAAGGTATAGTTTCTTCAACCAAATGTCCAAGGGCTTTTCTTGATGTTATTGTCTCTCTTTTGTTTTTCTCACTTTTCTCTAATTTTTCTGAATTTTTTTTTTATCTTCTCATTTGCTTTCTATATAACTCATGTAACGAGTTTTAGGCCGGTGACTCTCAAACCAGTTGGCTTTAGGGCACCAGGTTTAATCTCACTATCACAAGTTTACATTTCAATAAGTGAAGGCTCTCCTAAGTTTGATTGCTTCGACGCTCAAGATTAAACTAGGTTACTTGTCCCGCCTCAAAGGTATAGTTTCTTCAACCAAATGTCCAAGGGCTTTTCTTGATGTTATTGTCTCTCTTTTGTTTTTCTCACTTTTCTCTAATTTTTCTGAATTTTTTTTTTTATCATCTTCTCATTTGCTTTCTATATAACTCATGTAACGAGTTTTAGGCCGGTGACTCTCAAACCAGTTGGCTTTAGGGCACCAGGTTTTAAACCCTTGCAGACTTATTCACTCGAGTTGTAAAGGTTCGATCAGATGACTTTCAATTAACCTCTTTCCCTCTTGCTTTCTATATGACTCTTTTAGCGAGCTTTAGGCCGGTGACTCCCAAGCCAGTTAACTTTAGGGCACCAGATTTTGAAATATCCTTACATACTTATTTGCTCGAGTCATAAAGGCATGAAAAGAAATGTATTGTTTTCACAAATTTATTTTATGCTCTTATTGTTCTAGATATTTAGTTTCCAAAACTAACCCCTAATTTAAGATTTTCATCTAATCTTCACCTCACTGGTCTAGGCAATCCACACAGTAGAATTCATGCAC